TTAAGATACATATTTTTGTACTTATGCAATAGTAAATAATATCGACATTTTTATATGATATAAGTAAAAAAATTCAACACAGGTTGACATTTTCATTTAATGTACGGATGTTTAATTATTATGATTAAAAAATAATAATTTGAAAATTTAATTAAAACTCAAAGTAATGGTTTATATAAAATTAAATTATTTTAATTTTAAAAAAAATAAAAATTTTAATATTTTTTACAAAAATTATCTAATTGAACACCCGTATAATACTAAGGTATATACTAATTTATATATTATTTGCGTTTATACTAGTTTGTATGGTAGTCCACGTCACATAAAAACCAGTGGTCCACAGCAAACCACCTATATATGCAGATATCTATCACAAAAGAATTTTATAAGACGTCATATTCAATATTTATTTATTTTTTTATGTAATTGATGACTTAATTGAAGGGTTAAGTTAAAATAGCTCTTCTAACACGTAATACTTGTTCCCAATTTTCTCATCCAAACTCTAGAATTGAATTGACCGACCAACAAAATGGTCCTTTTTCATTTTCAAATTTCAAAATATAATAATGTCTTAAGAACGAATTAATTACATAGATATTTTCTTGTTATTGAACCCATAACATTGAAGTTTTAATTTGACCACATTGAAGAAAGTTCCAATCAATTAAACACGCCAAGGAAATAAACATCAAACTTCATTGCATTTTTTCTTTGAACTTATTTTTGGGCATTCTCTTGAATAAGACCAAGTGCATGCACACAAAGAAAAGATTAAATTATGGATTTGTTTGCATGTTAGCAGACCAATGTAAAATTACCGAAAGTTTATTTAGGGTTTTACTCGATAAATTTGCTAATCAACTTTGTTTGGAAAAAAAAAAAAATCTTAATTGAATTACTTTTTCGACCAAAATCTTTAATTTTGAAAAAGCTCAATCAAACAACATTTTTATTTCGAAGATTCATAGAATAACACGACAACGTATATGTTTTCAAAGCAATTATCCAAATTGCCTCATTTACATACTGTCGTTATATTTATAAGTCAAATCAACAATAAGATTCTACTATTAGTTAATATGCTAATATGCGTATAGAAACTTGTTTATATTATTACATCAATATTCATTTGTTAATAAAAAATTAAATGAACTAGTTTACGTGTTTGGACACACAACACAACGTTTGTAGGCTCCAAGAGTCGTAGTTGAAACTTGAAAGTTCGAAAAGGCATGATCAATATTTTAAGATATATAACAATTATTTATTATATTCAAATATAAACGAAGTATGGTATTATTTTTCCTTTATTTTTTTATTAAACAATCATTGACAATTAAATACATTCATTTTTTACAAGACCCACATTCCTGAGAAAGGATATAATAACATTATTAAATTTGAAAGTACCTCTTCTTTAAACTTAAATATTACGGAGTGAATCTCAAATTATTATATATCTTTATAAGTTATCATTTAAGCTATATTTTTCTTAGTGATTCTAATAGAGTTTGACAAATTGCATTGAATATCGATTAGGTCAATATTAATTATTTAATAATATTGACATTTAATCCAATGACATGAACGCGAAAAGTTGTTCAACTATTTTCCATGTGCTCAAGAACAAACATGAAATAATGATAAGAGGTCCATTTGTTAAAGATACAAAAAGTGGCATGCACATGGTGAGTGGACCTAATTAATTTAGCATTTTCATTTTTTTTTTAATTAAGTATCAAGAATGTTACATATAAATATTATTACATCTTAATTCAGCCCCAAGTGGTTAATTACTTATATATACAAACTTTTTTTCATAATCAAAATAATTGGGAAATTATAANTAATTTTACCGATTGGACAATTTTCTGTATTTGTAACTTTACCTCAAAATAATTAAGAGAAAACTATATAAGCAATTATTGTAAAATTATCGACATGACACAGTTATGGTATTTTACAATATAAATTAATATGTATTTTTATTATAAATGATAGGTCATTTTGACATGAGAATTTGTGATTTGTTATTTGTATAATGCCTTTTGAAGTGTCCTTGATCTTGTTGGACTGAGTAATAATAATAATAATAATAATAATAATAATAATAATAATAATAATAATAATAATAATGACCAATCGCTAGTATTGTTTTTACTAGGTAATATAATATGAAGATAATGCAGCACTATGATGAAAGATATAAAGTCATTCAGTCGCTAGTATTTTTTTTACTAGGTAATATAATATGAAGATATGCAGCACTATGATTAAAGATATAAAGAAAGTTACAAAAATAATAGTCCAAAAGGAATGAAAATTATGTTGTAAGTTACCATTATTATCTATGCTTATGTGCCTTACCCACTCAGCATGTGGCCCATTTACTTATATAATAATAATAATTGTTATGTCGGTGGGTTTGGAAAGGCCTACAAGTCTCAAATGCATACATGTGTTGGGATATTTGGCTGATTAAGAATTATGGATCATTGGATCTTAATTAAGCAATTAATTAACAAATAATCAAGAAAACTCTAGTCAAATGATAAGAAAAGCAAATTAAAAGAAAAGGAAATATATATTTCCACCCTATTGCAAAATCATCAAATTCCAATAGCAATGATTTCCAAGTGTAATTATAATGAATATTTCAATATTATAAGTTATATTGAAAAATATGTTTAGATTGATTTCTATTGAATTTTGATGATTCTAACAGATAGTTTTTCTAATGCTTTGAATTATTAGAGGAGAAAATAACCCCAACGAAAATTATATTCGAACTGAAATTCTGACAATAATAAATATTTGGAAAAGAATGACGTTAAAACAATCAAATTCGAAGGTAAATTTTTAGTTTCAATTTCTATTAGAATATGAATATCCGTTGAAATTTTACAACAAAATTATTACACATTTATATCATGAATTGTTACTGATTAATTCTCCAAAACCACACCTTAAATAGTTGGCTATATATGTATGCATTTTTATAATTTGTTCTTCATGACTAGTTATTTGAACACATTTAGGAGATGGGTAACAGACATCTCAATATAAACAAACATTATAATAATTGCAGAAAACATTTATTATGTAAAGAAACTGCACTATTTTGAACAAAAGAAGCCTAATACTTTTCATGATATTTTCCCCATCTAGTTGCTTAAAATATAATCTTCTCATTAAAAATCTCATGATGGAATCTTTTTAAGTTTAGATCCTTTCTTTGATCTAATTATTCTGTTCTGAAACATGATGAAAGTCCGAACTAGAAAAAACCATTTATTTATTTAATCACACATGATTAGCTTATTGAAAGCAATTAATTGCATGCTTTTCTAATGCGTGTGCCAACATTGATCAATTATCCAGATGAAGATTTGGGGAGAGATCGTTAACTTAATAACTTTTCATTGATCTTGTTAAGCTGCAAAATCAATTGTCCATTCATATTCTTAAAATACTTTTTAAAGCATTTAAAAAATATGAGGTAGTTATTTGAAGTTTCAAAATATGTTAAAATTCATGAGGTATTCAATTTATCTATTACTTGAATTTATCTGAATTTTTTTAGAATTTACTAAGATTTCAAAGACGCAAAATGTTTTGCTATTGAACCAACATGCTCCATAGAGGAACTAACTGTTGGCTTCAATAGGAAATTGTTTGGATAAAAAGTTTTAAAATATTACTTAAAATCTCGAATGAGACCACCTCCTAAATAAGATGCAAATACTTTTATTTTAAAAAAAAAAAAAGTTATTTCTTGTCAAGATGAATTTCGTGTCTTTAAATAAATAAATCATTCATTAACATAGGATGATATGCCTTGTACATGCATGATATCACAGATATGTCTTTAGACATAATAATAATAATAATAATAACAATAATAATAATAATAATAATAATAATAATATCTTTACAGGCTGTGATGTGGTGTTAACTATTATTGATTAAAGTTTAAAGATTCTTGTTCCCAATATGAGGGGTTTAAATTGAAAGGAAGATGCTCTAGAGAGATTATTCCAAGCAGTACAATATTTTCTTATAGCCCAAATATAAATTATTTGATTGTGGTTTATTCACCATTCACTTGCATTTGTGGGTGGGGCACAAAAATATGCATTATTATAAGATACTTTGCATTTTTTTCTCTTTTATTATAATTTTGTTTTCATTATGATTATCATTTTTTCATATATCAAAAAATATATAGAGAGATGGTGTATAATTTCAATAATTGTTATAATCTATGTTTTAAAATGGGCCTAAAATTGACAGCAATTTTGGATGGTTTGAAGTGGAAGAGATAAATGGGCCAACAGCACTCAGAAAGCTCACTCTGCATACCCAATTGCAAACTTTTAAAAACCCAAATCATCTTATGTTTCAAAAACTATAAGCCCAATCCAAATGGATATCTACTTGTAATCCAAAAATCCATATCCATCACACACACTCACTTGGGGTGAATTTCACCCAACCGACCAACCCTAGGATCAAAACACATACAATGCACGGTTTTGTGTACATGTGATTTGATGGATTAGAACTCGACATTCAACGAACTGTTGTGTGTACATGTGATTCGTTGGATCATAAATCGACGTTCAATGCACGGTTTTGTGTACATGATACTCGAATCAGAACTCGACATTCAAAGCACATATGTGTGTACATTATATTTGATGGCTCAGAACTCGACATTCAATGCATGGTTGTGTGTACATGTGATTTGGTAGATCAGAACTCAGACATTCAGAGCACAAATGTGTGTACATGATATTCGATGGCTCAGAACTCGACATTCAATGCACGGTTGTGTGTACATGTGATTTGGTGGATCAGAACTCGACATTTAATGCATTTGTACATGTGATTCGATGGAGCAGAACTCGACACTTAATACACGATTGCGTGCACATGATATTCGATGGATCAAAACTCGACATTCGATGCATGTACACACGTGATTCGATGGATCAGAACTCAGACACTCATTGCACGATTGTGTGTACAAATTTAATAATTTTACTGCCAAAAAAAAAAAGAGTGTAGCCTTTCAAGACTGTTGCAAAAGGCCAATTTAACACAGAACCAACACACACAATTTGCAAGTTCTTGCATCAAAATTCAGATGATTTACTTAATACAATCCTCAAGGAGACTGCATTGCGTTCGGGTATTCAACATGCAACTTGTAAAAGGAAAGAAAGATCGACAATCGAAACACATGCCAACACATCAGTCTCGTGTGCATACACAATCGACACGAAGCAATTGTATATCAACGAGAGAAGGTGAAAACCCGACCAACCAGAAGAAGGATCGACACTCAGAAATACACACAGCTAAATATCATAAAAGCCCCTTCCCAATTGCTCAACTCATTTTAGTAACCAAGAAGAATAAAAGATGTTACCAAACACTTATTTCTTTCTCCATATGCAATGCCATCACCATGAACTCATGCTTACCTGACTCAAACAGAACACAATTCAAAGTAAGATTAAATTTCAATATATGTAAAGAAAAAAGGTAAATAGAAAGGGTACTTCTCTTTTGAATGCTCAACTAAAAACAGATGAACAATAATTTGCTTCAGATAAACCAAGAATAATCCCCCCAACACACACACACACACCTGGAACAAACGCCCTTCGCCACTCGAGCTACCATCCAAAATTCCCAAA